GGTTTAATAGAGCTGTTATTTTTAAAATAACACATCACTGGTGCACCAAGGTTTTTCAGTTCTTCGTTACACTTCAGATGTGGATGTGTGGTGACTTGAGAGCTGTACGTTAGGCCGCGGGAGTCCAATCCAGCAGTGGAATGTCAGTGAAAGCAAGCTATAGAAAGAGGGGGTGTGAGAGCTTTTTTTTTTCCGGGGGGGAAACATTTAAGTATATTGTTTAATTGTATTACACAGAACCAGCCAGAAGTTATCGTTGACCATTAAAGGATGAGAATTTCAAATGCTTTTGCTCTCTTGTTACTGTTATCATAGTTCCCTTTTATAGTGTGCTTCCAGGGGATGGAGGCTTTGCTGTGAGAACTCCAGTGATGGTAACTATTTGTGCGTGCTCACACACAGACCCGATATTCCTTTTGTCTGTTGCACATGGCAGCAGTGTCCGTGTTACTTCACAGCAGCCATCTCTCGAAGAAATAGCTGTAAAGTGTTGCTTTCCCTCTTGCCTGACTAGTTGTGTTTCTTGGAAGAGGGCTTACTTGTTACCTCCGTGTTTATATCTTGTTGGTGATTGCTTAAACATTGATGGTTGGGGCTACAGGTGTCCAAATCCTCTGCTGCCTCCAGCCATTACTTCTCTGCACGATGGAGACAACACTGTAAGTTTCCAGCTACAAACACATTCTGCTCTTGGACAAGTTTTTCCTTGTGTGGATCCCTCTCCACTGAAAGGTGTTGTACCCCCGGCAGCCGAGGACTGCCGAGGTGGGAGTCCAGCTGTCTTCCTCTCTGCTTTGCCACCGCTGCTGACACTTGGCTGTGCCATGACTGTGCAATTCTACGGCTCCGGCTTTGAACACGTACTTCTGGAGCTGCCGGCAGCTGCTGCCAGGCATCCACGTGCCTGTGTCTTGTAACTGTGTTACCTGAAACTTCAGAGTTCAATCTTGTGCGTTAATTCAGCTTTTAGCAAAAAACTGTCCAAGTCTTGTTCCTAGAATGGGAAGTCTTTACTGTTTGGCAAGATCTGCCTGTCGCTTTTAGAGGATAGGGGCTTGCTTTCTTTAATCTCCTCCTACCAGATGGAAAACAGGTGTGGCTTGCATTTACCAGGCCAGCCTGGCACAGCTCCAAGTGTTATGATGGGAAAATGGGAGCAAAGCCCTGTTGCAAAACCTGTGTGCACACAGGTGTGCTGCTTGCTCCAGTGGTGGTTGCAGCCTGACCTCCGCAGCGGAAGCGCTGACCTTGGAAGGGAGTCTTGTGAGGTTGGAAACCAAATTCTTTATCTTTCCAAACTGTATCAGCAGGCATGGAGAGCTCCGCCTCGCCTCAGGCTGCAGCAGGCTTTTCTGGCCATGCTTCCAGCTGGAGCTTTTCTGCTGATGCAGCTTTTGTGCGAGCGGGGCACGCAGCCCAGTCGTGCGCGGGCTGGGCCAGCGGGGTGTGCCGGGAGTTCTGAGCAAGTACTTTTGCTACCCGGACGGGCAGCTGTACCTGGGCAGGCACGTGGCTGGAGGAAAGAAAGCCCTGTGGCATCGAGAGGTTTCTAGGTGGCAACAGCCCTTTGCCTCTTTGGCTGGTCCAGTGGCTGAGTTGTCTCTCTCCAAGGTTAAAAGCAACTGGGATCCAGAGCGTCTCTATTTATAGCAACGATGTACAGTCGCCTTGGCAGAGAGGAGGGGAAGAAATGCAGCTACTTCATCTTGCTGCGGTGAGGCCAAGACTGCTGGGCAGGCTGCCTTTTGCGTCCTGATGTTGTTTGTTCCTGAAGTCCTGTCTCCTGGATGAATGAGTTGTCTCTCTCCAAGGTTAAAAGCAACTGGGATCCAGAGCGTCTCTATTTATAGCAACGATGTACAGTCGCCTTGGCAGAGAGGAGGGGAAGAAATGCAGCTACTTCATCTTGCTGCGGTGAGGCCAAGACTGCTGGGCAGGCTGCCTTTTGCGTCCTGATGTTGTTTGTTCCTGAAGTCCTGTCTCCTGGATGAATTTTGAACTACTGGTAGATCTGCCATAGCTAATACATACTTCATTGCTGCAGAAGGCCCTGAAATACCCTTGCGCTAGCCACA